TCCTCAGCTACCTAGCACCAGCCCGGGCTACATGAGATCTTGTCTCAAAAATAAAGCAAAAATAAAGAAATACATAAATAAAATAGGGCTAGGGAAGAGAAGTGGGGGGCAGGTATTTTTCTGGACAACATTCCTCACGTGGGTACAGGCTCGTGAATGCTGGGCTGTACCTCCTGCTTGCCTTTCCTTGGGGTCAGAGAAGCCTCTTCCAGGTTGTTCTTTGGCCTCAATATGTCCCCCTCCCTCAAGTTGCCATGGCCGATCTTTGGGGGATATCTGAGATTTGAAGAGAAAGCTCCGAGTGAGGGCTGATCATTTTTGGGGGTGGGGTGGGGGTTGGGGTTGGACTTGCGTTTGCTGCCTTCCAGGAAGAAGGAGGGGCTCTGCTCGCCTCAGATGAGTCATGGGAGAGAAAGTTCCAGTGTTTGCAAACATCCCGGGGCCAACTGTCTGCTTCCTGGGGCTCTGTGCAGCCCCTGCTGGGGCTCCCTGGGCCCACCTGAGAGGACCTCAAGGGGGGAAAGTCAGCTCACTGTGAGAGGTTCAGCCTTCACCTCTGGTGGAGAGCAGACAAGAGAATGGGACAATTGTCTATTTCGGGACCCCAGCATGGGAGGCACAGGAGAGGACCTTCTACAGGCGGTTCTGTCTACAAATCAGGCCCTGGGCTGGGTGGTTCGAGAAGGTCATGACTAGGAAGTAAGCTTTTGAGGCAGCTCAGTCGGCGAAGTACCTACAATGCTCCGAGTTGGATTCCCCAGGATCATGAATCAAAACCACAAATTACCCTGCCCTTTCCCTAGAAGCCTGCCCCTCTGTAGGAGGTCTCCAGTGAATCCCAGAGCCAAAAGTGGATACCCACACCCACGGGTGAAAGGTATCACAGAAAAGAAGGCAGGGCTGGGGGGAGGAGGAGTCTGCAGGGGTCTTCCTCTCCAGGGGAGATGAAGGAGAAGCCGGCTAGGGAGAGTTGAAGCTGTGGTTTGCGGGGATCGGCTGTGCCTCAGCTCAGACTGCTGGAGCCAGATGGAGCTCATGATGCCGGAACCCAGATGGGACGGATCAGGCATGTCAGACACACTTCTCTCAGGATACACAGTGTTCCCCTCCTTCCCCCTCGCCCAAAACGAGGAATCACAAGGTGACTCGGGCCGGCAGCCAGACCCCTGGGATTTGTGGAGAGCTATCGGGTGGCTAGAAGGGGATCACAATAGACAGGGAAACGTGTCCGGGGCTCTACCAATCACCCTTTCCGCTATTGTGGGACATCAAGGGAACCAGCTGGTCAACCTTGGGAACAAAGATCCCGTTCTAGGAAATTGTCCACGGCAACCCTATCTGTTGCTTGCTCTATCTGTCCTTGGGTTCCTGCCAGCCTGAAACTCTACCTGTTCACTATTGCTACCCCTGCTGGGGAGCCGGACCTTGGCATTAGCAGGGCCCACGAGCCTCCAACTTGGAGAGTCTCATTCACTAGGGAGAGTGCGTTCCTTATTTTCTGTTGGGCTAGGAGACTTCTCTGTACTTAAAAGAATTTAACCATTTAAGGTCTAAGCACCTTGGGGAAACTGGAGGGGGGGCACTGGGCTGGGGGGGGCAGGGAGGACAGAGGAGAGAAACTTTAGAAACGTTTCGACAAAAATCAAAGAGCAAGCCAGTGGAGGCAGGAATTGTTGCTATATTTAAAGTGCATTGCCCCGTTGGGAGCCAGGGCTTTGAATCCCATCCCACAATACTTTGCTGCTCTATGGCTTTCTCTCTCCTTCTTTTCTTTCTTCCCGAAGATGGCAATGCTTTGGTCCATCCCGCCCCCCCCCCCCCCCCCCCCCAAAGCAGCGGCTGCAAAGAGAGAAAAGGGTTTTATTAATTAATTAGTTTGCTGGTACCTGCGGCCCGCTGGGCGCTGTGCTGGGTGCTGAGGATACCAATGGGAGAGGGTTAAAGGGTCTCAGAGACAATGGCCGTCACATATTTATCTGGCCACTCGTTATTGTTACCTGCAGACCCCGCTCGCTCTCCTGTGCTTTATAATTTGTTGTGAGAGGTGACGGTGGGTGACATGCCATACTATTATTACATGTGAGTGTGCCTGTTTGCTAGTCCTTCCACCCTCAGGAGATTGAGCTTCTTGGCCCTGGATATTCTGTATTATTTATGGCTCCCTCTTCCAAAGGACGTGACCTCTCACTCACCCTTGTCACCCTCACACGGGGACCCGCTGTTTGGATGGGTGGAGATGCAGGCTGGCAGCTGAGCTTGTCAGTCTGGACTCAGAAATGTGTGTGTCATGTGTACGTGGGTGGAGTTAAAGCAATGTCGAAAGGAGGAGTCGAAGATAGGGAAGAATGGCCAGTCCTGGGCCCTGGGACACCAAAGATTCAGAGTCAAGGAGGGAGAGAGGCACAGGCTGAAAACGAGGCTGTTAGTGTGTTGGCGTGAGTACGTACTCCTGTGCAGGTGACGCTCTGTGAGCCGAGGCTAGCCCGGTATACACAGTGAGTTCCAGGATAGCTAGGGCTACCGAGGGAGATCCTGTCTCAAAGATAAGTAAATAAGGAAATAGATCGCTTTGCTAAACTAGTGAGTTACAGACTGGAGTCCCTAGGAGCTGCATCTGCCACCACCTAGGACAGCCAGGAGGTGGAGGTGACTTTGCCTGGGTAGCCGGTCAGCCATTGTCAGTCCGGACTCCCAGGAAGTCTCACGTTCATAAGCATCAGCCAAGAGTTGTTGTTTCGAACACTCATCCATGAGAAGGACACTTAGTGATGAAGGGGGTGGGGCATAAGGGGTTTCTAGAAAGGATGTTCTGTTAAGTTGTTCAGATGTCTCAGATGTTAGTTTTGTGGCGTGTAGAAACAATGGTGGTCACAAAGGGCTAGTGTGTGTTCGGTGGCACATGTCATGCTCGAGTGAATGTGTCCCCACACAAAGCCTGACAGAATGGCCGTTTGGAGCCTGTTGTGGACAAGGAATCCTGAGCATAGCTTTCCCATTAGATTCTTGTGGACAGCCAAGAATGGTGGTGCACACTGTTAAACCTAGCATTCAGGAGCCTGGGGCAGAAGGACCTCGGATTTGCAAGCCAGCATTTCAACACTGCGGCCTCCCCAGCTACCATATCACAACAACAAGCACACATCCCGAGCAAGCGAGAGGTGGCAGATGGGATCCTGTCAGAGGTCTTGGCTCCTTCTGGCTTCTCAGTGTAAGCATTTCATGATGCCAAGTTTGGTCCTGGTGCTTAAATGGGTATTTCTCATAGTACATGACCTTCAAGTTACGTCAACCAAGGGTAGGGCCACGGATGCTCCAACACTATATGACAGACTGTCAGAGGATAACTAGGCAGGAGCACCTTTGAAGATTCTTACTTTCATGGCTTTGGAACCTCTGGTCAAAATGATTTATGACAACTGAAGAATCACATTCAGTTGATTAGCTTTTTAAAAAAATTTTTTAACTTTTATTTTATATGCTATGGTGGTTTGAATATGCTTGGCCTGTGGGAACTGGCACTATTAGGAGGTGTGGCCTTATTGGAGGAGGTGTGGCCTTGTCAGAATGGGCGTGGCCCTGTTGGAGGAAGTGTGTCACTGTGTAGGTGGAACTTGAGGGCTCCTAGTGCTCAGGCTCCGCCCATTGAAGAAGAGACAGTCTCCTCCTCCTAGTCTCTTCCTGGCTGCCTTTGGATCAAGATGTTAGAACTCTCAGCTTCTTCTCCAGCACCAAGTCTACCTGCATGGTACCATGCTTCCCACCATGATGATAATGGACTGAACCTCTGAGACTGTCAGCCAGCCTCAATTAAATGTTGTTCTTACAAGAGTTGCCTTAGTCATGGTGTCTCTTCACAACAGTGGAAATCGAAACTAAGACATAAGCGTTGGGGTGAGGATGTCAGACCCCCCTTGGATCTGAAGTTATGGACAGTTGTGAGCTGCCATGTAGTTGGTGGGGATTGAACTCAGGACCTCTGGAAGAGCACTCAGTGTTGTTAACCACTGAGCCATCTTTCTAGCCCCTGATTAGTTACTTTTAATCTGGAATGAGTAGCTAAAAGACCTGTTGGATAATGACATAGTCAACCTGTTTGTTAAATTGTATGTAAACCACGTCTGAGCTGTATCACTAAACCACTGTTTGGGATTGGAGAGGTCGCTGAGTGGTTAGGAGCAGTGGTTGGCCTCCAAGAGCACCAGGCATTCATGTAATGCACATACACAGGGTGGTGGTCTGAATAGGAATGGCCCCATAGACTCACGTGTTTGAATGCTTGGCCCGTAGGGAGTGGCACTATTAGGAGGTGTGGCCTTGTTGGAGTGGGTGTGGCCTTGCTGGAGGAAGAGGGGGAGGGCCTTGAGGTCTGTTATGCTCAAGCTCCGCCCAGTGTGACACACAGTCCCCTTCTGATGCCTGTGGATCAAGTTGTAGAACTCTCAGCTCCTTCTCCAACTCATGTCTACCTGCACGCTGCCATGCTTCCCACCATGATGATACTCTCTGAAACTGTAAGCCAGCCCCAAATAAATGTTGTCCTTTATAAGAGTTGCTTTGGTCGTGGTGTCTTTTCACAGCAGTAAAACCCTAAAAACACATATAAAAAACAAGACACTCATACACATAAAATCTGTTTTTATTAATTTTTCCTTTTATTGAGAATAGATTCTTTTTTCATACAAAATATCCTTAGTATAGTTTTCTCTCCCTCTACCTGTTCCAGTTCCCCCCTCCAACTCCCCTGTCTTCCTGATCCACTCCCTTTCTGTCTCTCATTAGAAAAGAACAGGCTTCTAAGAAATAGCAACCAAACATAGCAAAGTAAAATATAAGATGAATCTATCATTTAAAAAGTGGAATGCTAGCTGGGCGGTGGTGGTGCACACCTTTAATCCCAGCACTTGGGAGGCAGAGGCAGGCGGATTTCTGAGTTCGAGGCCAGCCTGATCTACAGAGTGAGTTCCAGGACAGCCAGGGCTACACAGAGAAACCCTGTCTCGAAAAACAAAACAAAACAAAAAAAAAGTGGAATGCTTGCACAGAGGCCATGCTAATCTTCTCTGTGTCCTTTTGATTTTGGTATATGTGCTGCCAGAGTGAGCACAAGTCTAGAAAAAAAAATTTTAAAGAGAGAGAGAGAGAGAGAGAGAGAGAGAGAGAGAGAGAATATGTTTTGAAGAGGACTTTAATTCTTCTTCCAGCCCCCATGTTGGATGGCTCACAAGCTGTAACTCCAGCTCTGGGGGATCTAGCACCCTCTCCTGGCCTCCTTGGGTACCTGCTCTCATGTGCATATACCCCCACACAGATACACACACAAACACAGAGTTAAAAGTAAATAAATCTCGGGGCTGGAGAGATGAATCCGTGGTTGAGAACACTGGCTGCTCTTCCAGAGGACCCAGGTTCTAGTCTCGGCACTCACATGGCCACTCACGATCATCTGTAACTCCAGTTCTAAGGGATCTGATGCCGCCTTCTGGCCTTCACAGTGGTGCCTGGGCGTCTATGTGAGCAGAACATTCATTCCCATTTTTAAAAATCTTTTCAAATAGACTGCTTGAAGATAAGACTGAAAAAGATCATAATAAGCACAAAAACATTCAATTATAGGCAGGGCTCAGTGCCTGAGACAGAAAAATCAACAAGCTAAGTATACCATAAATAGATTTAACAGGACTGTGATTTGCACGCAAAGGACTTGGTTTGAGTTCACTGCTAACACTGTGGAAGTGGAAGGACGGAGGTGGGTCTGGCTCAGACTTGGATGCTCAGTGTGGGCGTGTCCAGAGAGGTTGAGGGGCTGAGGCTCAGGCTGTAAGAAAACAGCTCAGTGTCCAGGGCTCTTTTTAGTTAGGAAAGGACACATTAGTGCGAGAAAGATCTGGAAATACTCAAAGGGATCACATAAAGAGGGGTTTAAGCTGGTTCAAGGTGATTTCGGAGAGCTAAATAAGAACGGATGTAGCTAGGAGAAGGTGGACTCGGCCCACAGTGGGGCTGCTTTAACGGTCGGAGCTGTCCAAATATGGAGCAGGCTGCCTCTTGTGGCCCCCTCCACCGCCCAGGAGGCCTGCAGAGGGCTGAGACCTGGCCAAGACCTCTTTTGCAAGTCACCTCCTGGCTTTTCTATCTGAATAGCTTTTTAAACTAACCTGCTTTTTTTTTTTCTCGCTAATGTCCTCTTTTATTCGTGCCTCTGAAGGTCTTTGATCACACCTCATCTTTCTGCATTGCACGCTGTGTCTTTCCCTTCTCTTCCTGTCCTCAAGTGATTAAGTATGTGGTTATGAGCCTAGCTGGAAGACAGTAACCTTTCTTATTAAAGACTTGCAAGCAAGGAGCAGAGTACAGCATTGCACATAAAACAAACTGAGCCCCAGTTTGCTCTTTTTTTTTTTTTTTTAAGGCAGATTCTCAGTAAGCTGGCCTGGAATTCACTATGTAGACCAGGTTAGTCTAAACCTCATGCTCGCCTGCCTCTGCCTCCTGAGCGCTGGAATTACGCCATACCTATTCCCTCTTTTTTTTAAAAAAAAAAAAAAAGTGAGAAAAACCCTTTAATTTGTTTTTCCCAACTTTATTTCTACAATAAAAGTAACCAGGGATTCTGCCTCTGGGAGTCTGGGTTCACGGTCAGTTTTGGCACCCTCAAAGCAAAGAGGTCTCAGAGATAACAACCGGCTGAGGAAACAAGACCTAGTCGGTATGGCCATATGCCTGGGGCTGATGCTGAGGTAAAAAAAATCATACTATTAGTTTAAGAGAGCCTTCTAATCTTCAGTAAAAACAGCTTGCCGAGAACCTTCCAGAAGGGCAATGGAATATGGTAGCAGTACCTATGGGACTATTGGCGTCGCCATTTCTGGGAGCTCTGTAAGGCAGTTTTACCTTCTTTTTGGTTTAAACCTAAGCTGCACAGCCATTTTCATAGGTGAGTGGTCCAGAGGCCAAAATAAATCCGGTTTATTCATGAATGGAAAAATCAATACCCTGGAGTTGAGCAGATGTTTGCTGAGGCCTTTGTGCTGGCACAGCCCTTTGTGAGTTACTAATGGGTTGAGGAGGGTGGGACTCTCCTTCATCTTGTGCACTGAGAACTGTAGGTACTCAATAAAAGATGAGATGCTGGGGACTGTGCTTTGTACTGAGTGTGGACAAGACAGACAAGCTTTGTTCTCGTGGATCGCCAGTCTGGATGCCCTACAAGACGCTAGGAGGCAGGCAGTGAGCAGCTAAACAAAATGTACAGCATATTTTCCATAGATAAGTGTTAGGGGAGGGGAAGACCCTTGAATAATGTGATAGTGGACAGACTGGGGAGGAGAGCGGCTTTAGATAATAAAAGCATCTTTCAGGAGGAAGATGGCCCGAGGGAAGAACCAGGAACTCACGTTGTATGGTGCACCTAGAGGGGGCTACAAACAAACAAACAAAAAAACCAAAGCAAAAAAAATAAACCAAAAACCAAAAAAACCAGTGAGCATCTCAGAGAGGTCATCACCTTTCTGCTCTCAGTGCCTCTTGCTGTTGGTTTGAAAAACACGAAGGCAGGCAAAACTGGAATACGCTAGGAGGAAGACCCACCAGCGGTCCATCACCACACCCCCACCTCGCCGGCAGTCACCTGATCCTCCTCAAGAGGCTGTGACCTAACCAGTTTCCACCTTGCTTCTAGGGAGTGCATTGCTATACACTAGAATTTTTGTTTGTTTGTTTCGTGTAGGGTTCTGTTGGTCCCGTTCCAAGTATCAATCAGAACTGCATGCCAGCCTCCACTCCTTGGAAATAATTAAATTGAAATGACGTACTTGATTTTTTTTTCAATCGGGTAAAGCACCGTGATTTGCATCTGCTGCCGAAGGAATCTATCTTAAGTCTTAAGGCGGAGCCTTGTGGGACGTCTCAAGTGATGGGGGACGGGGCGGGGGGAGGGGGGAGGCAGCGTTGCTAAACACTCAAGTAGACGAAATGCTTTTTTTTTTTTTTTTTGCAAAATATTCCCTTTATGAAGCCGCTTTTTGTGAAGATATTCGTAAATTCAATGCAAAGGTCCTCCTTCCTGTTAAGTATGATTTCCCACCTTCCTCTGCTTTTTAAATTTATTTTTTATGTTTTAGACAAGGTCCAACGTCGAAGGCTGGTTTTAAATTCCTTAAGTGTCTGGACATGACCTTGAACTCTTTTTTTTTTTTTTTTTTTTTTTGGTTTTTCCAGACAAGGTTTCTCTGTGCAGCCCTGGCTGTCTTGGAACTCACGCTGTAGACCAGGCTGGCCTCGAACTCAGAAATCCGCCTGTCTCTGCCTCCCAAGTGCTGGGATTAAAGGCGTGCGCCACCACCGCCCGGCGGCCTTGAACTCTTGATGGTGTTGCTCCAACCTCTGTGTGCTGGGATCACAGGCGGGCACCACGCTTGGCTCTGTATGGGCTCTTTAAATTGGCAAAATTACCTTCCATGCTAGGCTCTGTACAGACCTCACCGACACAACAGATGATCTGTGGGTTTAAGAATAGATTTGGGATTGAAGGCTCCTTCTCTCCCATTGGGGGAAGTGGAAGTCTATATAGCAGCCTTCATTTTGAAGCCAAAGCCAAGCTACCCAGCATAGGCATAGCTGCTACAGCTACAGCATAACCTGTGACTTCTATGCAGACGTGTGTCAAAGGCTGTGTGAGCCACTAACAACGAAATAAAACTTCCTCCTTCCTCCCCCAAGAGTGGGATTCCCTGTCGGGGCACAGAACCCGCAGGGGAAGGAAGGGCTGGTGTTGGCGTGCGATGGAGATGGGGCTTTCGGCTGGGGGTGTGGGATGCGGTGTTCCCGAGGCGACAGATGAGCGCTTTTGGCTGTGTGGGAAGGGAACTGCGGAATTCCTCCGCTTGTTTGCTGAGGGGGGCTCTGAAGGAGACATTAGGATGCAGAGCACGGCTCGCGCTGCCCCGGGCGCGGAGGCAAGCCAAGGACACCAGTCGGAGCGCGCCTCGGCCCCCGGCGTTCCGGCGCCTCCCTGCCACCGCGCGGCCCCGGGTAGTCCCCCTCTGCGGCGGGGCAACCAGCACAGAGCGCCCACCCGTGTGCTCCGCGCTCTACTCCCGCGCGTGGATGAAACGGGAAAGCCGTGGCCGCGGAAAGTCAGGCTCGCCCTCCGCCCGCCCCAGGACGCAGCGAGCACAGCGCGGACGCCGAGGCGGCCTGCGCGCACACGCGCGCGCGCGCGCGGCCTCGATCCGGGTTACTGGGGGCGGCGCGCGGGAGGAGGCGGGGCCTGCCGGCGGCGTGGGCGCGCAGCCCGCCCCGGCGACCGCGCCGGGCGAGCGGCCTCCTGGGGCGGGCGGAGGGCGAGCCTGA